AGATTAGGTAGAATCACGAACACCAACTTTGGTAAAAAAGCTCAAACACGAGATTGTTGTTCTCAAACGATATTTACTCATTCTAAAATTTAAATGGTGGTTAAAGGGACTCTCAACAAATGCTTTGTAGGATTGATAAAGCGTTGAAAAATAAAACACTTAAATACTAAGACTGCGTTTGGTTCGTCGTTTTGAGATCATTTCCAATTTTCAGTTTTCTAAAACACTCAAAACGTATTTGGTATGTTATTTTCAAAAAATACGTTTTCGAAAACAAGGAAAATTTTACAACATAAAACTCAAAATGACTTACGTTTTGAGTATTTTCAATGAAAATACTGAAAAACCCCATAATAAGGAAAATGAACTTAAACATTTCTCAAATTAAAATAATTAATAAGATCGCACAAAACCTACACAAATACAAATACCCATAAAACTAAATAATCACATATAAGCATAAAATTGTTGTGTTTTACTAAATAATCAAATTAATTGAAAAAATATCATCAAACTATTTCTAAAAGTTTTAAACCAAACGCATTTTCTAGTTTTTTTGTTTTGAAAAAACATTTTTTTCAAATAACGAACTAAATAGATTTTCTGCAATTTTAAAATAATCCCTCAAATTAGAAAACAAAAAATAAATTCAAAATTGAAAACAGAAACGCAAACCAAACGCACCCTAATGTTTTACTTCCAAAACTTGTAGAACGCAAAAGGGGTTTTGAATATGTAAGAGAACTGTGATAAACTCTTTATAATATTGAATGGTTTGTTGTAACTTGTTTCAGTTGTGTATAGAAATGAAAAAATATTTTACTTGATTTTTTTCATTTTTATTCATTGAAAAAACTTACTAATTAGAAAACTGTTTCGTTTTTTGCTTTATAACGTGGAAAAAAAAGTCAAACGATGTCTTAAAATTAAATACATATTATATTCGTAATTCACTTTTTGTGTAAATAATATTTCTATAGTTTCACGTTAAGAGTTTAAGGAAGTTAAATTATGAATAGCGTAAATCCTTCACAAAACGATCATCTTTTAAAAGAAAAAGGGAAAATTGCAACAACTGTTTCTAACCTTTTACTTTTTTACGGACTTTACCTAACATTCAATTTGTGTTGGCCAATGTTCCCAACCTTTCAAAAATATGCAGTAGAGGTCCAAATGAATGGCTTTCATGTCTTTGACCGTTAGTTGACAAAGAAAAGTGATTTTGACAAATTTTGATCAAATTAAAAAGGGTAAAATAATAACTTGATAATTATCATATTAAATAAAGGAACCAAAAAACAAAATAAATAAAGGAAAAAAAAATAGAAAACATGTTGTCTCCTCCCAACACCCCTTGCCCTGCCCCATCCCCTCTCCCACATCCACCAGCAACGTCGACACCACCTTCTGTCAGTCGGTAACAATTACCCAAAACCAACCACCACCACAACCATCAAACCTAAACCAAAAACCCCGCCATTGGACGAGCTGTACAGTAAATAGTCGCCACCACCACCATCAAATCAAAATCAACTGCTTCCATCAAACCAAAACCAATCGTCTGTTGGGAATTTACTTAATCATCCGTTAAAGGAAAAATTTCAGGCCCTATCTGTCGTAAAATACATGTTCACTATGGTTGAAACTGTTGGGAATTTACTTAATCATGCACAGCGGAAATAAAATAATTTTCAATTCCCACCAAGGATCTGCAATGTGTTTAGATAGAAACTGTGATAAGAATTATACCTTTGATGAATTCTGCAAACTCTTTTGCAGATTCTCGAACTCCAATGGTCACTATCTTCAATCCAAGCTGTCCAATTGTCCAGCCTCCAATAGTAATACACACAGAGAACAAGAATGACGGCTAGGGTTTTACTTTTCTTGTGTTAGCAAGAATAATGAAAATTCTCAACAACTTACAAACCCTAACAGCTTATTAATATAAGCCTAAGTGGGCTTGGCCTATCTCTAAATTTAACCCGATCCGATATTTAATTAATCAAATTAATTAAATCCGGTCCACGAATTAATTAATTATCCAACACTTGTCAATTAATTAATTGGTAAATCACATTCTTCTGATTCTTTCTTGTGTGTGACCCATTAGGTTCCCGATCACGATACCTAACGATGTGAAATATTATTTTGATCTAATCAAAATTGAAAAATTAAAATACCCCTTTTAATTTATCAACAATTCACATTCGTCGTCCCAGATTGACATCTAGTAATGTGTCAGGGCAATACATGTGACGAGAAATATCACGTAGAATGATAAAATCAAACTTATTCGTTTACCGTGAAACTATAATCCTTTCGTCAATATGATCCGATCAATTATGAGATATGGATATGTGTCAATCTCAATTAT